GCGTTGAGGACGGAATTACGCACACGCCCACGCCACGACGACGCCACGCCACACGACACGCACGCACACGCAACGCAGGCAGCTACTCTGACACAGTTTCGCGGGCCACCAGGGGCGGGGCGCATGGCCGACCGACAGGCCTTCCTCCCTCTCTCCCTTCTTCCTCCGGCCCTCCCTCCCTTCCTTCCTCCCTCACTCCCTCTTTTCGTCCCTCCTCCCTCCCTTCCTATTTCCCTTCCTCCCGCCGCCCTCCATCCCTCTTCCTTCCTACCTCCCTCCATCTCTCCCTTACTTCCTTTCCCCTCCCTCCGTTTCTCCTCCCTCCTTCCCCCTCCCCCTCTCTCCTGCCTCCCTCCCTCCCTCTTCCTTCCTACCTTCCTCCATCTCTCCCTTACTTCCTTCCCCCTCCCTACGTCTCTCCTCCCTCCTCCCCCTCTCTCCTGCCTTCCTCCCTCCCTCTTCCTTCCTACCTCCCTCCATCTCTCCCTTACTTCATTCCCCTCCCTCCGTCTCTCCTCCCTCCTTCCCCCTCCCCCTCTCTGCTGCCTCCCTCCCTCCCTCTTCCTTCCTACCTCCCTCCATCTCTCCCTTACTTCCTTTCCCCTCCCTCCGTCTCTCCTCCCTCCTTCCCACTCCCCCTCTCTCCTGCCTGCCTCCCTCTCTCCCCCTTCCTTCCCCCTGCCTCCCACATGCCCGCACACTTCAGCAGCCGCTTTGACAGCTAGCCACTGTGCACGCCCAGAAAACCCCATCCCAGATGTCTCTCCACCTTGACCCTCGCTCACAATCCGCAAGCTCTAAAAAGGCCCCCCGACAAAGGATGGGCTTCGGGGACACCCCCACAGAGACGGAGAAGGGGGAGGAGGAAAAGGGGAAGGAGAAGCAGATCTGGGTCACTTGTCAGGGTGCCGTCTGCAGTAGAGTCTCCCCCTCTCCCTCCACTCCTCTCCCACTCTCCCTCCCCTTCTCCCTCTCCTCCTCTCTTCCCCCTCTCCCCCTCACTTCCCCTCCTCTCCCTCTCCCACCCACCAGGCGTTCGCCACCGAGCCAGCGCTCAAAACAAACAGCAATTCATCAACATCATCATCAACATCAACATCATCATCATCAACAGCTGGAAACGATTTTACCGGATCGGCAAATTCGCCGTTAAATCATAATATTATCCTAAAGATATATTTAGTCGATAGACACGAGGACACACGGAGAGAGAGAGAGAGAGAGAGAGAGAGAGAGAGAGAGGAACGAGAGAGCGAGAGAGAGAATAGAGGCGGAGAATCCAGAGAAAACCTTTCCACTTTTACGATGTCGAAATCGTGTAAAATACTGTTGAGTGCTGACGCTGCACCAGTGGATAGGAACGCTGCGAGGCCAAATCGCTACTCCTGTAGCAACACGCCAAATTCACAGCTCAGTCTTGGGTTGAATGAATTGACGTGAGAGCTGAGGGAAAGTTATTGGATTGAACGGTAAGGAGGCGAGGGAATACAGTGCACTGGCGGGCAGCTGGCAAAATATATCGCTCGCATTTATTTTGGTCTTAAAGAGAGGATGCACTTATAGACTCTTTCCTGCTCCGCGGCCAACTCTCCGACTTGAGTTTGATCGCCAAGCTTGTCGTTCTTCTGTCTGCTTCTTCTTTTCTTTTTGTCTCGTTCTTCTCTCTCTCACTTACGTCGCTCGCGGCGCTGCGTTCCTCTCTCGTCCCTAGCTCTCACTAGCGTGCGCTCCTCTGTCTCTCTGCATCTCCTCCTCTTCTTCTTTCTCTCTCTCGTTCTCTCTCTCTCTCTCTCATCTCTCTCTCATCGTCTCCTCCTCTCTCTCTCTCTCTCTTATCTCTCTCTCTCTCATCTCTTCTCCTCTGCTCTCTGTTCTCTCGTGTCTCTCGTAATTCTGTATCTGTCTCTCTGTCCATCTCTTTCTCTCTCTCTCCGTCTCGGCATCCCTCACTCCTCTCTCTCACTCTCTCTCCTCTCTCTTCTCTCTCTCCTCCATCATCCGTCTTCCTCTCTCTCTCTCTGTGTGTGTGTCGCTGCCAGGATCAGCTCGGTCGTTTCGCCCCTCCTCCCGGCTCTCTGTCGCTCTCGGCTCTCTCGCCTCGCTCTCTGCTCTCATGTCTCCTCCATGTTGTCTCCTCTCTCCTCTCTCTCTTTCTCTCTCTCTCTTCTCTCTCTTCTCTCCGTCTCATTTCGGTCTCTCTCAGTCCCTCTCTCTCGCTCGTCAGACACACACGTCCTCTCTCATTACACACTCTCATCTCTCTAACACACTCTCTCCTTCTCCTCTTCTCCTCCGCTTCCACGTCTC